CCTGTCTGAAAGATTGGTTCCAGGCTGTTTAGGACTCAGAGTCAACAGCTGCTACTAGTGAAGCTGCCTGTACCTTCTAATCCTGGATCCCAGTCCCTGCTCTTCCATGCTCTGTTTTCCTCTCCTGTATAAGACATCTGCCCCAAAGTTCATTTTTTGTGTATAAGGTGCACTTCAGAATCTGCCTGGAGAAGATAAAATTGAAGAATAAGCTAAGAATCCTGGCTTCAGAGGCCTTGGGAATGCCAGGGTCTTCCCAGTGGGTGGGAATGTGAGGCCTGCCGATCCCACAAAGTGAAGCCCTGAACCCTTCCTCCGCATGAAACTTTCATGACGGGTATGTGTCTCAGCGAGTGGGTGGCCCTGATGTGGCACTTTGGTGTGACTGTGAAGGGCACAACTTTGGAGTCAGGTTCAAATGCTATCCTCCCCACTGACTCTGAACCTCAGTTTCCTCTTCTGCAAAATGGGAGTGAGAATAGAGCCTGTTTTACAGGGTAATCCTGAGAAAATGCAACAAGAAAGCCTTGATGCAGTGCCTTAGGCAGTGTCCCAAACTGCCTCCACCAGTGGGTGGTCCAAAAACTGAGAGGCAGAGGGAACAGCTTGTGCAAAGATGTGGAGGGGTTGTGAGCACACACCGTTACCCCCTACCCCACTTCAGGCCCCACTCCATTTCGCCCCGCTCCCCATAAATGAGCCCCCACAATCACAGAGGCAAGAGAGCTGGTGAGCTTCAGTCACCCTTCTCTCCACTCCCACCACACCCCTACCTTTTGCCTCCACCCCCTGCCCCTGCAAGCCCAGGATGGGTGATGAATGAGCAGTTCCCAGATTACACCACAAGGTGGAGCCATGATGCTGCAAATTCATGTTTCTTACACGAAGATAATTTGTATAAAGCAGGATATTCTTTTATGCCTGGCCCTAGGTGAGTGATCACACCATCGTGATAATCTCGGTCGTGAAGATCTTTTTTGAACAGTCCTTCTGTGCATTCTTGCCACCTCTTCTTAATATCTTCTGCTTCTGTTAGGTCCATACCATTTCTGTCCTTTATCGAACCCATCTTTGCCTGAAATGTTCCCTTGGTATCTCTAATTTTCTTGAAGAGATCTCTAGTCTTTCCCATTCTGTTGCTTTCCTCTATTTCTTTGCATTGATCGCTGAGGAAGGCTTTCTTATCTCTCCTTGCTATTCTTTGGAACTCTGCATTCAAATGGGAATATCTTTCCTTTTCTCCTTTGCTTTTCGCTTCTCTTCTTTTCACAGCTATTTGTAAGGCCTCCTCAGACAACCATTTTGCTCTTTGCATTTCTTTTCCATGGGGATGGTCTTGATCCCTGCCTCCTGTACAATGTCACGAAACTCCGTCCATAGTTCATCAGGCTCTCTGTCTATCAGATCTAGTCCCTTAAATCTATTTCTCACTTCCACTGTATAGTCATAAGGGATTTGATTTAGGTCATACTTGAATGGTCTAGTGGTTTTCCCTACTTTCTTCAATTTAAGTCTGAATTTGGCAATAAGGAGTTCATGATCTGAGCCACAGTCGGCTCCCAGTCTTGTTTAGTTCATCCTAAAGGAGATCATTATATCTACTACTGTGGGCAGGAATCCCTTAGAAGAAATAGAGTAGCCATCATGGTCAACAAAAGAGTCGTAAATGCAGTACTTGGATGCAATCTCAAAAACGAGAGAATGATCTCTGTCCATTTCCAAGGCAAACCATTCAATATCACAATAATCCAAGCCTATGCCCCAACCAGTAACGCTGAAGAAGCTGAAGTTGAACGGTTCTATGAAGACCTACAAGATCTTTTAGAACTAACGCCCAAAAAAGATGTCCTTTTCATTATAGGGGGCTGGAATGCAAAAGTAGGAAGTCAAGAAACACCTGGAGTAACAGGAAAATTTGGCCTTGGAGTATGGAATGAAGCAGGGCAAAGGTTAATAGAGGGTTTTTTTTCCCCCCATTTATTTTTATAAGATGGAGGCTAAGGGCTCATAGAGTTTTGCCAAGAGAACGCACTGGTCATAGCAAACACCCTCTTCCAACAACACAAGAGAAGACTCTACACATGGATATCACCAGATGGTCAACACTGAAATCAGATTGATTATATTCTTGCAGCCAAAGATGGAGAAGCTCTATACAGTCAGCAAAAACAAGACCGGGAGCTGACTGTGGCTCAGATCATGAACTCCTTATTGCCAAATTCAGACTTAAATTGAAGAAAGTAGGGAAAACCACTAGACCATTCAAGTATGACCTAAATCAAATCCCTTATGACTATACAGTGGAAGTGAGAAATAGATTTAAGGGACTAGATCTGATAGACAGAGAGCCTGATGAACTATGGACGGAGTTTTGTGACATTGTACAGGAGGCAGGGATCAAGACCATCCCCATGGAAAAGAAATGCAAAGAGCAAAATGGTTGTCTGAGGAGGCCTTACAAATAGCTGTGAAAAGAAGAGAAGCGAAAAGCAAAGGAGAAAAGGAAAGATATTCCCATTTGAATGCAGAGTTCCAAAGAATAGCAAGGAGAGATAAGAAAGCCTTCCTCAGCGATCAATGCAAAGAAATAGAGGAAAGCAACAGAATGGGAAAGATTAGAGATCTCTTCAAGAAAATTAGAGATACCAAGAGAACATTTCAGGCAAAGATGGTTTCGATAAAGGACAGAAATGGTATGGACCTAACAGAAGCAGAAGATATTAAGAAGAGGTGGCAAGAATACACAGAAGGACTGTACAAAAAAGATCTTCACGACCCAGATAATCACAATGGTGTGATCACTCACCTAGAGCCAGACATCCTGGAATGTGAAGTCAAGTGGGCCTTAGAAAGCATCGCTACGAACAAAGCTAGTGGATGTGATGGAATTCCAGTTGAGCTATTTCAAATCCTGAAAGATTATGCTGTGAAAGTGCTGCACTCAATATGCCAGCAAATTTGGAAAACTCAGCAGTGGCCACAGGACTGGAAAATGTCCATTTTCATTCCAATCCCTAAGAAAGGCAATCCCAAAGAATGCTCAAACTACTACACAACTGCACTCATCTCACATGCTAGTAAAGTAATGCTCAAAATTCTCCAAGCCAGGCTTCAGCAATACGTGAACCATGAACTTCCAGATGTTCAAGCTGGTTTTAGAAAAGGCCAAGGAACCAGAGATTAAATTGTCAATATCCGCTGGATCATTGAAAAAGCAAGAGATTCCAGAAAAACATCTATTTCTGCCTTATTGACTATGGAAAAGCCTTTGACTGTGTGGATCACAATAAACTGTGGAAAATTCTGAAAGAGATGGGAATACCAGACCACCTGACCTGCCTCTTGAGAAACCTGTATGCAGGTCAGGAAGCAACAGTTAGAACTGGACATGGAACAACAGACTGGTTCCAAATAGGAAAAGGAGTTTGTCAAGGCTGTATATTGTCACCCTGCTTATTTAACTCATGCAGAGTACATCGTGAGAAACGCTGGGCTGGATGAAGCACAAGCTGGAATCAAGACTGCCGGGAGAAATATCAGTACTTCAGATATGCAGATGACACCACCCTTATGGCAGAAAGTGAAGAGGAACTAGAAAGCTTATTGATGAAAGTGAAAGAGGAGAGTGAAAAAGTTGGCTTAAAGCTTAACATTCAGAAAACTAAGATCATGGCATCTGGTCCCATTACCTCATGGGAAATAGATGGGGAGACAGTGGAAACAGTGTCAGACTTTATTTTTTTGGGCTCCAAAATCACTGCAGATGGTGACTGCAGCCATGAAATTAAAAGACACTTACTCCTTGGAAGGAAAGTGATGACCAACTTAGATAGCATATTAAAAAACAGAGACAATACTTTGCCAACAAAGGTCTGTCTGTTCAAGGCTATGGTTTTTTCAGTGGTCATGTATGGATGTGAGAGTTGGACTGTGAAGAAAGCTGAGTGCCGAAAAATTGATGCTTTTGAACTATGGTGTTGGAGAAGACTCTTGAGAGTCCCTTGGACTGCAAGGAGATCCAACCAGTCCATCCTAAAGGAGATCAGTCCTGGGTGTTCATTGGAAGGACTGATGCTGAAGCTGAGACTCCAATACTTTGGCCACCTCATGCAAAGAGTTGACTCATTGGAAAAGTCCCTGATGCTGGGAGGAATTGGGGGCAGGAGGAGAAGGGGGCGACAGAGGATGAGATGGCTGGATGGCATCACCGACTCGATGGGCATGAGTTGAGTAAACTCCGGGAGTTTGTGATGGACAGGGAGGCCTGGCGTGCTTTGATTCATGGGGTAGCGAAGAGTTGGACACGACTGAGCGACTGAACTGAGCTGATTCTTTTATGCTGGGCTCTGTTCTGGGCAGAGGAGCCTGACCGGCTACAGTTCATGAGGTTGCTAAGAGTTGGACAGCACTGAGAGACTAAACACAGCACAGCACTGTTCTGGGCACTTGGTCTTCTTGATCATGTTTAATATTCAAAGCTTGACTTCAAGCTCAATATCCTTAGCTCCATCTTAAAGATGGGAAACTGAGTCTCAGAGGAGTGATGTAACTAAACGTGTAGCTGGGAGTCAGAAATCTTGGGATCAGATCCCAATTCTTCAGTCTACTGGGACACAACCTCAGTCTCCCCCTTTGGAAAAAAAGGGTAATAATAGCAACAACATTATGGTAGCTAATCGATCTTGTGTGCATGCTAAGTCTCTCAGATACGTCCCATCCTTTGTGACCCTACGGACCATAGCCCACCAGGCTCTTCTGTCCATAGGATTCTCCAGGCAAGAATACTGGAGTGGATTGCCATCCCCTCTCCAGGTGATCTTCCTGACTCAGGGATTGAACCTGTATCTCTTATGTCTCCTGCATTGCCAGTTGGGTTCTTTACTGATAGACCTTGGCTGTTTATTTTACTCCCAGCTCTGCGCTGTGCTCCTTACATGGACCATTCTGTGTATTTCTCACAACCATCCTAGGAAGTGGCTGTTAGTATCCCTGTTTTGCAGATGAGGAAACTGAATCTTAGAGAGACTGCCTGGCCCACTCCCACACAGCTAGAAGGAGGCAGAGTGAGTTCAAACCCAGATCTTCCAGAGAGAGCAAGAGGAGCTGGAGGACGGGGGTGTTAGGGTCTCAGGGAGGAGGGGTGCCCTGGGTTCTCCTTCCTGCCCGGCACTACCCTGCCACATCCATGCTGAGTCCCGCATGTTGCTCTGGCCTTTTCCCCACTGGTGCTACAGGGAATTGGGATTCATAAAGCTGGGCCCCTTCACCACCCCCTGGTTCTACAACTCGCCCTGGGAGGAGGGCCTCATAGGATGGCAGCCAACAGACCACATCCTGGAGCTGTCAGGCTGGGGCATCGGGACCCGCGGTGATGGGGGGGTCCCAAGCCCCCAAGGGTCTGCCCACACCCCACACACCCCGCACAAAGTGACCTCAGAGCCCAGGCCTCTCTCGTCTCCTTCGTGCCCCTGGGGCCCGGCCTGAAGACACCCTGACTGTGGTGGCTCACAGGGCCCTTCTGGCCCAGTGACACACGTGACAGCCTTTGTTTTGTCAACCTCCTTTTGCCAGCACCATCTCTGTCAACAACCCGAGAATCCTCGTGGGCGCGGAGGAGAGTCACGTGGAGCCAGATGGGGGGACAAAAAATGAAGAGCGGAGGGATTATAGTGGCCTTTGGTTCTTGCGGAAGTCTCTGCGGGGCCCTCAGCACCCGACGTCCCTGGCCCAGAATCAGTGATCCTGGGGAGGCCTCCAGATGCCAAAGGACCCACAGTGGGAGGTTCTCAGGAGAGAACCCCATCACGACTTTCCTTCCTTCCGGCAGCGAATAGATTCAGCTCACATATACCTGAATCTGATTTATGCAAATCTGAAACAGTGCCCTGAAAAATACGAAGGAAGTTTCACGTTGTGAACAGAAAGTTAATTTTTCTCATTGTTAAGAACGCACAATGGAACACGCTCCAGGCCCTCCTTTAAGGAAGAATCAAGGTCCCTCCCTCAAGGCCACAATCCCTCCAGTTCCTGCCTCCCCTCCCTCTACCGCTTCACAGCCAATTTCCCCAGAGCTGGCTTTCTCAGCTTGGAACAGCCTTCTCAGCCCCGGGCTCTCGTTAAAATGCAGCGCCTGGTCGGTTGGCCTGGGCTGGGGCCTGAGATTCAACGTTTCCTCAAAACTTCCTGCACAGGCTGATACTACTAGTCCACAGGTCACCTCTCAAGCAACACACTTACTTGGGATACGTTCTCGCCTCCACCCACCCATTTTCACTGGTCATCCTACCAATTCAGCGCTCATCATGCCCTCAACAATCTCAACGGGGAATATGTGTCAGCCTCATCCTACTTGATCGCACTACTGACATCACTTCCTCCTCCTTGAAATCAGTCCTTCCCCTGGCCACGCTCCCCTGCCGGTTCTCCCACCCCTCTAAGCATTCCACCTCTGCCCCCTTGCAGGCATAATGTTTTCACATTGGCCAATCAGTGTATTTCTTCACCCCCGCCACTGTGATTGGCTCAGAGCTCGGCATGTGACCCCCCACCCCCACCCCCAGCTGGACCGATGGGGATCAGGCCTAGACTTTTGAAGGGATAACAGAAAAGAGACAGTGCTCTTTCTGCCATAGTTGTTAAAAGAGAAAGAGAGCCTAGTGGCCTGCCTTACTACCCTTTGGGGAGTGTCAGTTTGAGAATGAAGCCACTGAAGAAGAAAGCTGATCCAAGTCACAGAGACAAATCATCCTGAAACTTTCCTTTGAGCATTTGGATTCAGCCGTGTCTGAAACCCATTGACCTTTTGAGTTAACATGAGCCAATGACTCCCTTTTACACTTAAGTCGGTGTAAAATAATCCTGACCCAAATAATCCTGAAAGATGTCATTGACAAGCATATTTCAGCTTATTCTGTGTAAGCCATCCTGGGAAACAAGAGATGAATCTCAGACTTCGGCCTCCCAGAATTGACAGTTTTGTGTGTGTGCGTGTGTGTGTGTGTGTGTGTGTGTGTGTGTAGAAAAGGAAGAGACCTATTCAAAAGCTACAAGGTAGAAAATTAAGAAGGGCTGTCTGGGTAGATCAATGAAACTTTCATATGGGAGGTGTCATGAAGGGTGGGGGAGATTTGCAGGGTGTGACATCCTCAGACCTGGCTCTGAGAATGGGGAGGAGTTGATGGAAAGCAGGTCCAGGAAGTCAGAGAGGAGGCCCAGAGGGGATGGTCCAGAGAGATGAGAACCTGAGAGTGACGATGAGAGAGACCCCCACAAGATGTGTGTCCTGTGAGGAAAGGCAAAGAGTTCCATTTTCTCTGCACTTTCCTCCCTTTTAATTCAGGAGGGGCCACCACATAAGGCTTCAGGATGATGTAGTCTCTTTTTAATTCAGGGCATTCCCAGTGCGTCCCAACCAGGATCAGCACCTGATGTTAGAGGGGAGGTTCAGAGAGCCAACTTGCCTAAAATCACCACCTCTAAGAAGCAGGGTCAGGAAAGAGACCCTGTCCTGGTTCTCAGCCTCAGCCCTTTCCCCTCGGCAGTTAGCTTTTCCGAGCACTCACCATTTGCCCGGCACAAGATTCACTGCTTTCAGGCTTAAGTCTTACCTAATCCTCACACCAGTTTTAGCAAATGCTATCACGAGCTCTACTTTTCAAACAAGGAACGGATGCTCAGAGAGTCCATGTAACTTGTGCGAGGTCACACAGTTAGTCAGCAACAGGGTTAGGATTCCAGCTGAGGTCCGGCTAATTATCAAAAGCCCCTGGGAGACAAATATACTCACAGATACCCCAAGTTTGGGGATTCTGCAAATATCCGTCTTCTGTATTATCTGTGTTATCTCCAACTACATCATAATGTTGCATGCTTTCTTCTTTCAAGTCCCCAAATGCTCAGTTAAATTCAATTCTGTGTTTCTGAAAGGCTGTCCCAGGACCAGGCTCTGCCAGGGACAGCAGCTAAGGCAGCAAGAGGGAAAATTCCAACCATTTGCATCCAGTTTTCAATGTACAGAACATTTTCAAGAATGTTACCTGCTTTGGGGAAAATAGTTGTCAGTGTGCATGTTTGCCTGCACCTGGTGAAAGAGGAAAGTGAAAAGTCTGGCTTAAAACTCAACATTCAAAAAACTAAGATACTGGCATCTGGTCCCATCATTTCATGGAAAATAGATGGGGAAACAATGGAAACACTGACAGACTTTATTTTCTTGGGCTCCAAAACCACTGCAGATGGTGACTGCAGCCATGAAATTAAAAGATGCTTGTTCCTTGGAAGAAAAACCATGACCAACCTAGACAGCATATTAAAAAGCAGAGACATTACTTTGCCAACAAAGGTCCATGGAGTCAAAGCTATGATTTTTTCAGTAGTCATGTATGAGTGTGAGAGTTGGACTGTGAAGAAAGCTGAGTGCCGAAGAATTATGCTTTTGAACTGTGGTGTTGAAGAAGACTCTAGACAGTCCTTTGGACAGCAAGGAGATCAAATCAGTCAATCCTAAAGGAAATCAGTCCTGAATATTCATTGGAAAGATTGATGCTGAAGCAGAAGCTCCAATACTTTGGCCACCTGTTGTGAAGGACTGACTCATTTGAAAAGACCCTGATGCTGGGAATGATTGAAGGCAGGAGGAGAAGGGGACAACAAAGGATGAGATTGTTGGATGGTGTCACTGACTCGATGGACATGAGTTTGAGCAAGCTCCGGGAGTTGGTGAAGGACAGGGAAGCCTGGCATGCTGCATTCCATGGTGTCACAAAGAGTCAGATATGACTGAGTGACTGAACTGACTGACTGCTGATGGGTGCTGAGGGTTGGGACACACATGAATGCTCTTTGGCACCCCAGAGCCTGGCATGGGGCAGGGCCAGAACAGAAGTGCCAAAAATATGTGATGAATGAATGGATGATGGGATGAGTGGATGGATGGAAGTGTGGGAGGAAGGATGGATGGATGGAATTCTGGATTCTTCTTGCTGGATGGATCTTATCCTCTACATTCTCTATTCAGCCAATTGGTCTGTTGATTAGCTTACCCTTTTCATTTTAATTCAATGTGGTGTTTATTGGAACCTAGACTGAAGGCAATAAGAGAAGCAGGGGCAGAGGATGAGATGGTTAGATAGCATCACTAATTCAATGGACATGAATTTGAACCAATGCCGGGAGACAGTGGAGGACAGAGGAGCCTGGCAGGCTACAGTCCATGGGGTTGCATACAGTTGGACATGACCCAGTGATTGAACAACAACAACCACAAATCAGGCCCTAGGTGGCTGCTGGGGACACAAAGATGCAGAACTACGGTCCCTGACCTGAAGGAGCCCCAGTCTAACAGAGGGGAAACGGCTAATACACATTCTTTCAACCAAAAAACTTTTATGGAGTGCCTCCCCTGAATAAAACTTGGGCTGAGTGATGCTAAGGAAACAGAAAAAAAAAAAATGAATGCATCAGAGTGCTTCCTATCCTTTAAGGGCTCAGACAGTCCAAGACGGATGCCAGTCATGAAGGTGAAAATGACAGTGTGATGTAAATGTCTCAGAGCATGGACTCTGGGACCAGGTTACTTAGGCTCAAATCCCAGCTCAGTCAGTTACAAGGTGGGTGACCTTGAGCAATTTACTTTACCTTTCTGTGCCTCAGTTTCCTTGTCTATAAAATGGGGATAAACTATTACCTGCCTCTGGTGGTTTGGAGGAGTAAACAATGAGATCACACTTTCCTACCAGTTCTGAGCTGACCTCAGTGACTCATCTATTCCCCGGGAGGTTTGGCCCATTTCTGGGACAAGGACCAAGATTCATTCATCTTTGACATAGGCTTGACGCAGGAGGTGCTCATAAACAGTTATTGAGTGGATGAGTGGTCCTAGTGCAACTATTAACATTTGTTAAGTGAATGAATAAATAGGATGGATGAAGGATCCAGTTCACTTTAGCAGGAGGCATCTGGAAGAGGACACAGGGAGAGGACAGACAAGAGGTCAAATTCTGGGAGGTCGGTGGGCTGTTGACCTCATTCTCTCATCTGTTCATTCATTCACACATTCAGACAGTCAATGCCAGTTAGTCAAGCCAGGTCCCCTGTGGTCCCTGCCCTCAGTGATCTGGTCAGATGGGGCATAGCTGATGCCCTTCTCCCACACCCTCGCTCTTTTCTTTGCTCTTTCTTCCTTTCCTTCCTCTCTGCTCTTTCCAGTCTCTCTTTCTTCATTTGATTCCCAAACATCATTTGATTCCTACTCTAAGTCAGATCCTATGCCGGCTCTGAGGGACTCAAGGGCGGAAAAGATAAGGTGTCCGGGCTTCAAAGGGACTTGGGAAGGAGCCAGACCTGTTGAACTTTCTTTTCTACTGTGTAGTGACTCTTCTCTGGGAGGTTTGGGCAAAGTGCTCAAGGGGCATTTCATGGAGCACGAGGAAGAAGAGCCTGGGGGTGGGGGATGAGGCCCCCTTGTCCATCCATCAGTCCATGAGAAGCAGTTCTACATTTTCTAGGGCCCGTCACCTGGGAGAGTTGTTTAACCCAATAGGTGTTCCAGACAGAGCCCAGGGCTTAGGAAAATGTTTGCAAGCTGAAAAAACAAAATGCGTTACCTTCAAAACCAGAAAACTATCAAAACGGCTCAAAGTTTAAATTAAAGGTCTTCAGACTGTAATATTATGACAACTTTATTAATTGTTATATTTAGCGGTCATGAAAATGACAATACGTTTGAAAATAGCTGTTACTTTGATTTCTGTATTTGCCAAGAATTCCTGCGGAGGCAATTCAAGTGTGAGAAACGGGAGCCTTTTATAAACTGGATGAATTGTTCCTGTCTGGTTGATTTCAAAAGCAAAATGACAATTCTTTCAGCTTTTTTTCATAGCAAAGTGAAGAAATTACATTTGGTGGATGGGAGGAGGGTACACTTCTGAAAGTCTGCCATTGTGTTAGGCAAGGTTTGGGGAGGGGTGCCTGGGGGTGAAACTTGGGAGCTCAGTGGGAACCTGAGCCTCAGCCAGCCTAGCCCCTGCCTCTGTGCAGCCTCAACCTCACACTTGCCCTCTCTGATCTTGGCAGCTTGGATGACCTTCTAGAATCTTTCTTTCCAGGAAGCTGATCTGTGTTCAGAAAAAGATACCAGCTCAGAGCTTAAGGGCTGAGTCAGTGGGATGAGGAAGCTGCCATGGCTGAGGATTAGCTGTCATGCCAGGGGTAGGATGTCCTAGTCCTAGGACAGCTAATCCTTCATGCTTCACTGGAAAATTTCAATGAGAAATTCATCTCACGACCCTCATGGCTGGTGCCTTTGACCCTAAAAAGCAAATATCTTCCGTGCAAGGAAATTCCTTGTTCCTGGAGAGGGATGAAGAGACAGGATGCACGGGAGAAGCTGTCATCAGTTCTGTCTCCAGGATGGCTTGGATGAACCTGCCTGGACCTCAGATGGCCTCTGAGGGAACCACCCTCCCCGCCCACTGCCTGGGCCCTTTGCTCTCCAGGGTTTGGAGAGTGGGCAGAAGTGGGCACTGAGGCACCCCTCGTTGTGCTGGCCCTGGACTGGCATCTTCTTGTTGCACAGACACAGCAGCCTGCAGAAATACTGAGCCTGACATTAACTCCCAGAGCAGAGATGCAACAGGCTCAGAGGAGCCCATCAATGAGGAGAGAAGCCCCCGGCCAGCCAAGTCTACGTTCTTGCCACTATACACACCAGTGGTCACTGGAACAGGGAGGGGCCAGAGAGAAGGGAGGGGTGGGTTCTAATGCAGCAGGAGCGCCCAGTGTCTGGGGGGAGGCAGACGTGCACAGAACGTACCTGAAAACAGAGCAATGTGCTCTCCCTCAGGGAAGTCACCCGTGGGCAGGGTCAATGATCTCTGTGTTATAATAACAGCAACAACAACACATCAGGGAACATGTGTTCATCAGCCATGGTCACAAGGCATTGTGATCACAAGGGGACACTTGAGGGAACAAAACAGACGAGATCCCTGCCTTGTGGGGCTCCCACTCCAGTGGATGAAGAAGAAAGCACATCTTTAGGGACTGTGTGTCCAGGTTTATACCTGTTAACTGTGTATCTTTCAGACCAGTTCAATGATGTAGGTATACCCATTGTGCCCACTTTACAGGTGAGTAAGTCCCTGAAAGAGAAAGATAATAAGGCTAGTAACTAGCAGAGATGGGATTTGAGCCAAGATCTATCATACTTTTAAGAACTGCACACACTGCCCCTTGTTGCCCTCACTATTCTCTTGGGCTCCTAAATGCTGCATCAGGTCATCACTCACTACTGTTTATTGCAGTAATAGCAGTGATGACAGGCTTCCCTGGTGGCTGAGTGGTAAAGAATCTCCCTGCCAATGCAGGAGATGCAGTTTCAATCCCTGGGTTGGGAGAAGGAAATGGCAACTCATTGCGGTATTCTTGTCTGGGAAATCCTATGGACAGAGGAGCCCGGCAGGCTACAGTCTGTGGGGTTGCAAAAGAATTGGACATGACTTAGGAACTAAATAACAACAAAGTAATGATGACATTCACTATTATTCATGGATTATCTTCTCTAGTCAGGACTGGGCTGGGTTCTCTACTGACATGTCCTCACTTAGTTCCCCCTGCAGCTCTACTAAGGTAGAGGATATTCTAGTTCTTGTTTTAAAGTTAAAAAACCCCAGAGCTACCAACAGCTCATGCAACTCAATATCAAAGCAACAAACAATCCAATCAAAAAATGGGCAGGGCACCTAAGTGACATTTCTCCAAAGAAGACATATGGATGACCACAAGGCATGTGAAAAGATATTTGATATCACCAATTATTAGAGAACTACAAACCAAGATTGCAATCAGGTAACACCTCACACTAGTTAGAATGACCACCATCAAAAAATCTACAAACAATAATTGCTGGAGAGGGAGTGTGGAAAAGGAGATTCTCCTACACTCTTGGGGGGATGTAAGTTGGTAGTTGATATAGCCCCTATGGAGTACAGTATGGCAATTCCTTAAAAAACTAAAAATAGAGTTAACATAAGACCCAGAAACCCCACTCTCGGGCACACACCTGGAGAAAACCACAATTCCAAAAGATACATACACCCCAGTGTTCACTGCAGCACTATTTACAGCAACCAGGACATGGAAACAGCCTCAATGTCAATCAAGAGAGGGGTGGATAAAGAAGATGTGGTGCATAAATACAATGGAATATTACTCAGGCCAAAAAGGAAGGAAACTGCCATTTGCAGAGACTGGACAGACTTAGAGATTGTCATACAGTGTGAAGTAAGTCAGAAAGAGAAAAACAAACATTGTATACATGTGGACTCTAGAAAAATGGTGCAGATGAACCTATCTGCAAAGCAGAAACAGAGACACAGAGGTAGAGGACAAACATGTGTGGTTACCAAGGAGGCCAGAGGTGGGTGGGATGGACTAGGAGATGGGGACTGACACATGTACGATACTAGGTATATAAAACTAAGGAGGGACTTCCCTGGTGGTCCAGTGGTTAAGACTCCACGCTTCCAGTGCAGGGGGTGAGGGGGAACTAACCTGCAGCAAAAATAAATAAATAAATTAAATTAAATAGATAACTAATGAGAACCTACTGTATAGCACAGGGGATAAAAAGAAGGTACAATCTGCTTGCAAGACATATACTAAGCTAACCTGAAAAAGGCATTCCAATATACGTTAGGTGCAGACAAATACTATTTATTCCACTTATACAAGGTACATAGAATAGTCAAATTCATAGAGTTAGAAAATACATAGGTAGATGCCAGGAGTAAGATTGAGGGCAGGAGGAGAAAGGGGCAACAGAGGATGAGATGGTTGGATGGCATCACCAACTCAGTAGACATGAATTTGAGCAAACTTGGGGGAGATAGCAAAGGATAGGGAAGCCGGGTGTGCGGCAGTCCATGGAGTCACAAAGAGTCAGCTAAGACTGAACTGAATGGGGGGTGCTGGGAGAAGGAATAGAGAGTTAGTGTTTAATGGGGACAGAGTTTCAGTTTAGGAAGGTGAAAAATTCAGGAGACAGATGATGGTGAGAGTTGTACAATAATGTGAATGTAGTTAGTGCCACTGAGCTGTACAGTTAAATATGTTTAAAATAGTATGTTTTATATTCTAGTCAAAGCTATGGCTTTTTCAGTAGTCATGTATGGATGTGAGAGTTGGACTATGAAGAAAGCTGAACACTGAAGAATTGATGCTTTTGAACTGTGGTGTTGGAGAAGACTCTTGAGAGTCTCTTGGACTGCAAGGAGATCAAATCAGTCCATCCTAAAGGAAATCAGTCCTGAATATTCATTGGAAGGACTGATACTGAAGCTGAAACTCCAATCCTTTGGTCACCTGATGTGAAGACCTGACTCATTTGAAAAGACCCTGATGGTGGGAAAGATTGAAGGCGAGAGGAGAAGGGGACGACAGAGGATGAGATGGTTGGATGGCATCACTGACTTGATGAACATGAGTTTGAGTAAGCTCCGGGAGTTGGTGATGGACAGGGAAACCTAGCGTGTTGCAGTCCATGGACAAAGAGTCGGACACTACTGAGCGACTGAACTAAACTGAACTGATATTATGTGACTTTTCCTACAGTAAAATTAAAAAAAAAAGAGTTATAGTTTATATCCCACCACCACCACCACCAAAAACAGAGGTCAGAGACGTTAGGGCACTTGTCTTCTGTCACACAGCCAGCCAGGGACAAGACTGGGAGGCACACGCAAGGATGGCTCTAAAAGCAAGCTTATTGTGCTGTTATAAATAAAATGCACACATTTCTAAATATGTACACTTTAATCAGCAATAAAGAAAAATGCTTCTGCAGGCTGTAATAAATGATTATTGAGCATCTGTGTGTCAGGTCCTGGGGATGATGCCCTGTGGTCCTGGTCCTCATGGCCTCAGAGAGTGGGCAGTTATCACTGGGCTCAAGGAGTGGATGGGATTCCTGCAAAGCAAGAATGCCAGGTGCGCCATCTGGTGGGAATGTGGCAATGTAGCCCCAGATGTTCCTGATCACCTCTCAGAGCCCTGAAGTGTCAGCTATCTAGCAGAGAACCACTGTTTATTTTGCAGTTAGAGGAAATGGAGATTATGGGAGAAAATGAACGTCTTGGTTCAAGTGTTTCTACATTCTGAAAATGGAGATAGTAATTTCCTGTCATGGTAGTGCGGTCATAATTAAATGGATTAATCCAGCTAAAATACTTTTGTTTGAAATATCTAACACAGAATTTGTGCTAAAGAAATGTTAGCGCTTATATTTATTTTAATCATCAGCATAATACTGTATAGAAATTTCACATGACAGAAACCCTTGTGGCCAGGAGAAGAAAAACCTATTGTAAGAATGTAGATTCCATAAAGATTACAGACAATATTGACATTGTCCATAGACACACCATATGATGTCCACAGAGAAGGGAACTCAAGTGAGCAACTAGAAGGGACTTCTCCACCTCTGTTAACTGTGAATCTTATTCCCCACAGGCCTCTATTGGGTGCGGTTGTTGACCTGACCCTCAACTTTGTCCTAAGGACAAGTGTCAGCTTTGAAATTACTGATGCTGGTACCTTCACGGTGGTCATGGGAGAATGCACCTACACACCAGCCAAGATCTCACTCTCCTTGGTGAACAGGTCAGGCCCACATATCTCAGCAGTGCAGGACACCCAGGGGAGTTGGAACCCCTAATTTCAGCCCTATTCCTATATCTGGGAGGGATATGGTGAAAAAGAGGTGAAACTCTGGAGACAAGCTAGCTTTGCCTCTAACTTATGGTTTTATCATCATTTTAGCTCTAGGCGCTCCAGTGTTCATTTTTAAACTGAGGATGGTAGTAATGCCTAGTTCATAGGCTACTGTGTTGACCAAATGAGAAGATGCAAGTGTTTAGCATACAGCCTGGCACTGTGCTCTCAGTAATAATAACATCCATGTTGACTTTCCGTCTCCTGATTCTTCCCCTAACCGAGACAAGAGTGTTGACCTCTTCAGCCATAACTGTGAACTTGCATATTTCACCTTTCAGCTATATCTGTTTTTGCTTCATGCTTTTTTAAGCTCTCTTGTTAGGTACTTGCACATTTAAATTGCTATGTCTACTTGAGGAGCTGACCCTTCTCATATTATATAATGTCCCTCAATAATAATAATATTGATAATAATAATAATTCACTGTATTTGCCTTCTTGCCTCTAGTTAGGAGGGGCAAGAGTAGTAAATGCCTACCATAGGCTCCAATTTCAAATTGTCCCCAAATCATCCTCCACGCACTGGGAAATTCCCAAGATGTGATCTTGAAAACTGAATCTTCTCCTTCTAAATCACTGATTTCTGGTAACACACCAAATCTACATCTTAAATTGTGTGCTTGAAAGAGCATGTTTAGCCCAGGGAAGAAGGTGGAGGGAGAAAGGCTGACCCTGGTCATGGCTGGGCGAGGAGAAGTAGTCTGAATGCCGATTGCTGGGGCAGGTTGGCCTTGGCAAAGAACTAGGCTGAGTCATGAGCAGAGGTCAGTCCATCCCGCCTCAACAAGGGATCTGATCACAGGTTGCCTAAAGAACCCCAGAACCAAAAATTGGCCTTGAAGCCTACCATCACTTGGGAAAACTGAGATGTAAGTCCAAATGCCTGAGCCCTGCTGAACAATGCCTTGCCTATAGGGCCAGAGAAATCATCCTGCCTTCTGGGGCTCTATCTGTAAAATGGCATTCCACTCTGCTGCTCCAGACCCCCTGGGGGCTTTGCTCTCCACTTTGGGTACAATCCCAAGCCCTCCTTAGGACCATCTAGACCACCTGACCTGGATCCACCCTCATATCACTGTGCTCTCCCCCTTGCCACTCTGCCCTAGACACACTAGCTTTTGCTCTGAGCCTCAAACAAACTCCTTCCACCTCGAGACCTGTGTAGAGGGTGTTCTGGATATCAAGTACACTTATCCCCCATCCCATCTCAATGTACTTCTCATCACTCAGGGTCTAAAACAAGGTTCCTCTTCTTCACTTCTAAGAATCTGCTCTTGCCCTTCTGAATACCTTCCATGAGTTGTCATTATATATTTAATTGTATGTTTACTTCATCTATTCCCTCAGCCAAAAATGTGCTGAGCATATCCTCCATACCAGGCAGCCACAATTCTGAGCTCTGGAGAATGTATCGGTGACTTCAGGCAAAGAAGTTGCTCTCCTGGAGCTTATTCTCCTGAGGGAATGACAAACAGACAAGCATTACTCCAACAATAAACAGCCCACAAGGTAAATGTCAGATGGCAACCATCCCTGGGCAGAGCAGCACACTTAATAGGGTGCAATGATACAAAGCCCTCCCTCATGCAGCAGTCATGGAGGGCTGCCCTGAAGAGGTGACAGTTATGCTGGGGGCTGGAGGCGGGAAGGAGCCAGGCTTAGCCACACTCATTTCATATGTAGTTACCAGACTGGAAGCTGCTTATATTTTGTTTATCCCTGTGTCCCCAGTCTGGCTTGGTTCCTGGCATATATGCTTGTTGCTGTATAAATATGTGCTGAATGAATGAATGGAAGGATAGATGGATGGATGGATGAGGTGTCATGTCTGTGATGAGACTCTCATGAGCTGTTAGGGTGAGCTGCTGGTCAGTCATGTGGTTCTAGGTGATGAGCCCCCTGAGCAGAAGCTCAAGTCACCTGACTTCAGGGTGCCCCACCATCGCCCGCCCTCTTCCCACTGCTCCTCCCTGCCTGCTCTGCCAACTTCACTGGTCTTTATCAGTTCCGTCTCCAGCCCCACTGGACTGATCAGCGATATCAGAAAGACGGTGACCAGACTTGTGAAACTGGTGGAGGACTACCTAGTGCAGTACGTGGTGAGTACCCCACTTCTGGCAGCTCAGAGCCAGGCCAGGTGGGGAGCAGGTGTGACATTCCCCGGGTGGGCTGTGCTCTTTGGGCACCTTCCCTTCTGAGGTGCCCACTTCCTTTGGGCTGTCAGCTGCTGCTCCCCTCCTTCACTCAGCCTGGTGTGGGGAGAAGGGGAGGAGGGATCTGATATTAGCAGAAATCACTGGGGTCCAACTTGAGTCATATACCATACCCATGTACCGCCAGTAGGCCTTTTAGCAATATTCTTCTTTACTGAATACAATTTCATTTAATTTATTTAATAAAGTTTTAATCTTCTGAAGTTTTAGGATTCTGTTGTTCTCTGGCTCTCAGATTTGGGCCCATCATTGTAAATTCCTACGGGCAGAAGCTCTGAGATCCCGAGTAGGGCAGTTAGTTGGCAGGGTGCTCCCGGTCGATAATGATCAGTCCTCTTTCTCTCCTGTCTCTCCTCTCCCCCCTCCCCATCCCAACATCGTTCCTGCCTTCCTCTCTCCACCTCTCGCTGTCTCTCTCCCTGGTGTCCTGTGACCCTCAGCTGTGCCCAGGAATCCGCACAGTCAACAGCTCCTTGGATGTGATTTTGGTGAAGAACCTCAATGGTAAGTCACAGCCTGGGGAAGCAGTGGGGGCACCCTCTGCAGCCTCCCAAGGGGCAGGCTCCCTGCTCTACACCTACTCGACAGGCAGGTCTGTTCAGGGGACCCTGGAGAAGTTCAGCATCCTTTGTCCTGAGCAAGTCAGGAGAGTGTGGCTGGGGGAACGGCGTCCCTGCAGACTGAGGGCTGCTATTGGCCTCCTTTCTCAAACCTGAGGAAGCAGCTGCAGAGATTGATAAGAGAAAGAGGACAGGCCAGATCTGGGTTCAAATTCTGGATTTGGTCTTAGCAGCTGTGGGATCTTGGTCAACTGGTTCCACATCTCTGATCCTTGGGTTCCTCACAGATGAAAGATTGTAAACACTGCTGAGTTGATGAGTGTTTAAAGTGTTTAAAGAAAACCCAGAAAGAGCCTAATATCCCATACTCATTGCTACTGAACACTGCCCCTTCCCTTTCCCTTCTTACGAGGAGTTGTGGCTTCACCCCCAGTCCCTGGGGGCTTTTGTTGTCCTGGGTCTCTAGCATGACTGGGGTTGCTGAAGCTGTGGGGCAACAGAAATGGGCTGAGTAATAGTGTCAGGGTCCTGGAGGTGGTCCTTCTAGAAAATAGCCACAGGACCAGTTACCTGGGCCATACTTCTGTGCTTCATATACACCCTCTCATTGTATTCTTTCAACAACACTGTGGAGTGGGTACTGTTATCATACCCATTTTACAGATGAACAAACTGAGGCTCAGAGAGACAGAGTGACATGCAAGAGATCCCGTGATTGCTGAGTCTGACCTGCTGGAGGGTGGCAGCCACTGGGATCTAGTTTCTATTCAGCTACATCCAGATCTGGAGAAATGCTACTGATTTTGTTCCCTCAGATATACTTCAGGAAACCGCACAACAAATTGTAAACTGAAGAGGACAGATGAGAAAAACCACTGTGATGCCCGCCTGCTGGTGAGGACCGGGCTCGCGGCCCTGGGCTGAGCGAGGATGAGATTCCCCACAGGGGTCCGTGGAGAAGCAGAAGCAAGCTGGCTTCTCCTCTTTCTCAGACTGAGCCCTGATCTTGGTCACAGCCTGAGTCCTGACCCTTAATCACACACTCAGACTGTGCTTGACTGGGTCCCTGACTGAGCCCGGAATGCAGTCAGGTTGAAGTTTGACTTCAGTTGTTGACTGAGCCCTGACTTGGGTCATGGATAGAGACCCGACCAGCATCTCAGGCTGATCCCTGATCCTGATCATACGCTGAGCCCTGAACCCTGGCTCCTCTGGGCCCTGATCAATGTTTTCACATCGGCCACTGTTGCTAGGGTGAGGGGGTGGGAGGGTGAGGGGATGAGGAGGGGTCAGTGCCAGGTGCCAGAGAAAGACCCCAAACCACAGGTGTCAGTCCCTCCCTGAGCCTCAGAGTTTGCAGGATTTGGGGGAAGTACTCTGGCCTGGTTGTGCGTGGTGAATGCAGGAGCCAGTAAGGACCCCAGGCTCTCCACGCCTCATACCGGGTCTTCTTCCAGATTGTTTCCCGGGGACGTGACTGAATCTCTGTATCGTCTCCCTCTGGGATGGTCGGTGCTGCCACCATCTCCCAGGAGGGACAACTAAGCCCAGTCAAAGGACACCTCTCAGATACTCCTCCCTGCAATCAGGACACTTTATGCTCATCACCCTCCACCCCCAGCAATAAAAAGGCATTTCTGCACCCCCTGTGTGGCCCGTGGCATTCCTTCCATTGGGATTTTGGGGGAGGAGAGGTATGGGCAATCAGGGCAGCAGAGACCTGGATCCAAAGCTGGAAGGGACATTAGGGATTATCCAGCCCCACCTCTTTGTCTTACGAATGGGAACACAGGTCCAAGACAGGCAAGAAAGTGACCCGGGGTCACGTAGAGACAGCCTCACCCTGCCTCTGCTACAGCACTGCCATGAGAGAGGGCTGCCTTCGCCAGCACACCTGACCTCATGACCTCCTCACAGCACCCTTCTGCCAGGAGACATGGCTCTTGTCTCCACTGAACAGATGAGGAAACTGAGGCTCATAGAGGACAAGTGACTTATCAAGGTTACAGGGTGGCAAGTGGCAGGGTTAGAATTTTAATCCTCGGCCCTGGGACAGCTTCCTCAGAGAGGTGACACCCTGGCTCCCAGCACTCAGCCACCTCTCCTCTGCCCC